GGGAATGACCTTATACTGTGACCTTTGCTGTACTCTATACAACTACAAGTAATACACCTTGTCATAAAGCTAATTAGATACTCTTTAAATTCCTTTCAAGTAACTAATTCTGCAAAATAATGTGCAAAAAAACCCCCAAACCCAACAAACAGTGCAAAACCCAGTGTAGCCTGCTGAGGGAGCTCCATGGGGCGAAGTGCCTTATATTTGCTGGCAATATTTGGACAAGTAACTTTTGCTTTTTCAGGTCTTCTCTCCTGTAATCACTTGTGCCTGAATGGTGAGAGTCTCTTTTCTTGTTTCAATGAGTTTTTGAGCAGATTCATAAAGACAAGTCAAAAAACTGTTCTCAAAGATTTACCATGCATCTCCTGCTGACTACAGCCAGATCTGCAGCCATGTCCTCAGGGGAAGATTTGAGACAGAAATTCTTTGCTGTTCTTCTGTACCATATATGCAGCCAAGATTCAGGTTGAATGTGGAGAACAAAAGCAAGGCATGATTAGCCCTAAAGGTTGAAAAGTATAGCTCTCCATGAATTCCTGTGCAGGGCCATGAAGAGGGTTTCAAAGATGAGAAGATTTCCTGATACCTGTATGTGATAGGTACTCCTCTCCAGGAAGCAGCACAGAGAGGAATTAAAGAGGGAGAAAATGCACCAGGGTCCAGTTTCCATGAGAACTCGGTGAAGGAGAAACTGCTTTTGTTCTGCTGCTTCTCCCTTGACACACAGTGAGAGAATTGTCCATTGTCTCCACGGGAATGTAGCCTCTCTTTATGAATGTAGCCTGCCAGAGCAGGCAGCTGGAGGTAACATCACAGTGGAGGAAGCTTCTGGATTATGTCCTGGGCTCATCTACAGAAGAGTCTTTTGATACATATGTGACTACTGCATTATAAAATACTGCAGAGTATTTATCGGGCAAATTGTAGTTGCAAAAACTTTTATAAAGCTGTCATTAATAACCAGCTGTGCCATGGCAAGGCAGCAGGACCCCAGGCATTCATGTTCTCAAACATCATTCTTGTCTTGTCTGCATTGTCAGAAACAACTTTGGAGGACTTCTAACATTTCCTACCCTGTTAAATGTTTACCTCTAATTATAAATGAGTTCTGACTCTACACAGACATAATTAGAAAGCACAATATCAGAACTAAAAATGTGTTATGTGTCTTTTCAAAATCTTGAATGAATAAAGCAAAAGAATGCAAAAAGTTTAAATGGAATAGGTAAGTGGCCAGATACAACCAAAGCTACACCCTATTCTAATATTAGGCTAAATTTTGGCTCAAACAGACTCAGTTGCTCCTGAGATCCCATCTTAGTGGCACATATTTTGTTCTCTGGTGTTCTAGGAGCTTTATGGGTTACTGGTGATTTAGTTGGAAAATATCTAATTAATTTCAGAAAAATTATCTGTGCTGGTGAAAATTAACAGCTTAATGAATCAAGATCAAAGGGAACTTTACAACACTGGGGTCCATCAAATCAGACATACCTAGTCTTCCTGTCACTTGGCCATTAAAGATTTTATTATAAGCTGGGGACTTGAACACCAGCACCCCAATTAAATTTAGTCCCAGGTGATTATTTCAACTCTTTCTAAATTTTCAGTGAAGGAAGCTAGAAGTGTCCTAAATGTCTGGGTTCTGCATGTGAATATTGTAGAAATAAAACAATGAAAGAAATTCTATCTTGTAGTACAATGCAGTAGAGTGTAGAAAGTAGCATCAGACAATATGAAGATTGTCTAATACTGATCAGTCTAATGCTCATCATGTTTGAAAACCAGCAGAAAGCTCACCAGGAGGTGACTGGCCAACAGGACATGCAGAGCACTGAAACAATGGTATCAAAACAGTCAAGGCTCATGTTTTATCCTAGAGTTGCCCATCTTCTAGGGCTACATAGGCACTTCCACACCCCGTGCTGTGACAGAGATGCTCCCTGTGGAGGCAGCACCATCAAGAACACAGGACATGGCGTGAGGAAAAGCATGGAGCATCTTCTGCAGTGGTGTTGGCACCACTCCCAGTGGCTGCCCTGCAGTCTGCCCTTGGCTCTGGCCCTGTTTCCATACTGCCCCATCCCTACAGAGCCTCAGCCTTGAGAAGAAGCGTGCCAAGCCTGTGTGATTTATATTTGCTAGAGGCAATTCTCTCTTCCTTCCACCTTTAAAATGGACTTATCTTTCTTTTCACTCTCCACAAAATTAAATGGGCTCTTACGTGTATAGTTAGGCTTGCTCTTTTGTGTGCATTTCTTATCAACTGAAAGGCCACTCTTTGTCTTGGCACAGGCGGATAGATATTTGAGATGGTTCAAAGTGCTTTCAGAGGAAAGGAATGTTCCTTTTCCATTTCTAAAATCTGTAATAAGTTCTTTGTCAAGCCCTGCAAGTCAGTCGGCATACCTTTTTGAAGAACTTTGGAATATTTTCACAGCAAGAGTGGTCTGACTTTTTTCCCTCAAGGTTTGTATTTAAAATATTTTTCCTTTTTTTTTGCCTCTGACGATGTCTATAGTGATTTTTTAATATATGCTTGTATAAAACATGTTTCTATTAAATAGATACACTTATGCACACATACACACACACACACACACACATATATATATGTAGACAGAAGTTGAGCTGCTTCTGCATTTTCACATATGTACCTGAAGTCTTCACAGGATCACATCTCCTCTCACAGTTGCTTGAAAAGCACTACCAAATCATTAAACCTCTGTCACTCTCCACTAGCCCTGCCTGGTATCTCTTAATTTGTCCTTCAACCTTTCCAAAAATTCTTCAGTAGAAAAATGTGTATGCAGCAAGAGCTGAAAAGTTTTCATTTTGAATGCCAGAATTCAGATTTTGCTTGTTTTCTTACAAGCTGAGGATGTCTCTGGAGTAATTAGAAAAAGAATAGCATTAATTCTGCTTCTCACTGAGGAGGATGCTTCATTAGGATTGATTACTCATTTCCAAAGATTGTACATGGCTAATATAATTACCAAGGCACTGAATAACATGTATATCCTTTGGACCACCAAAGTAAATGGACCCTTAAGAACAAGTTGAATACTTTTGTTTATAAGGAATGTATAAATGAGGGTTTCAGTTCCAGCAGGAATACTGTCAATTAAATTATGTCTCTATGACTCAATTTGAATCTCTGTTCCTTTACCCTGAAGGTTCTGTATATGCATGTAGAAGAGTCTATCTATATGCACATACAAGACTTTCTATAGGGCTAGATGAGACATCACTGAAGGCCACCACAAAGTAAGAGAAATCACAGTTCTGTTTCACTTTCATTGGAAAGTCATCACCATCAAGGAACTCACTTATGCTGATAACTTGAGCCTGATTCTACCTCATACAAAATTTGCAGCTGCAGAAAAAAACAAAACTACTCCAGAAGTCCTCATCCTTTGATTCTTCTGTAATCTCTTACAAAAACAATGGCTTATGAATCAAGGACATTTAGTACCTGAATTTTTTTCCTATGCTATTCCTTTATTTTTATTTCTTCCATGTTGGCCTAATTTCTGAACAACTTCTTGTAATTGGGACAGAGTTTTATGGGAGATCATAGGAAGCTAGTTTTGTCCTTAGGTGAAGCTATGAATACTGCTACCTGGCCTTGCATGCTGCAGGACTGCCCATTCACTTTGTAGCAAAAGGTAAAATATTAACCATTATGTGGAGATTTTGGCAGGTAAGAAAGTAAGAGGTTTCACATAAAATGTACAGAACTATACAGGACAAAAAAGTGTGGTCATCCAAACAGAAACATGAAGAGACTACGTAGAGATGAGAGAAAACCAGAATATGTTCTTTCCTAATGAGCTCTTTCCTGATATAGATCTTAAACCTGAATAAAATGGGTATTAACTGTCTGAAAAAAAAATCTATAATATATAAATGTGGGCAGAGAAATTCTCATATCATTTCTTAAAATATCAGGTCAGGATGAACACAAGATCAACCCAGGGGGATGACTGGTAGCTGCCCCACTACAAAGATGAACCACACCTCATATTCAACTCAGGATTTCGAGGTGCTGCCTCCTGTGCAGCAGCTGCAATTATAAGCAGACTGTTCAAAAGGTGCAGGCAAGCATTTAGGGAATCTATTTTGGTCTGCATAAATATAGCCATCCTTTGCTTTAGCAGTTGAAATGAGAGACTGGGAGGAGGAGCTACACCCACCATCCTTCCACCTCCACCTGGAACTTTGAATCCCAAAGAGCTTGGACACTTGTGAAAACATGTGGAACACAAAACAGAGCCTGTGTTGTTTACTGTTGCTACCTTCCATGCAGTGAGAGCTAAACTGCAACATAAAGTGCAGGACATCAAAATCCTGGTCATTGGGAACTGGACTCACCAGTGGGAGGGGAGCATTCAGAGCAGGGGTGGAAAGGGGGAGCAGTTTGGCAGACAATGTAAGCATGGAGGCAAAATGGCAAGAAGTCATAGGACAGAATTACCTGTGTAAGGACTAGAGGGCAAGTAAAAGACAAACAGGGTGTGTGAAGGGGGTGTGAAGGGGGACCTGCTCATATGGCAGTTAAGGGGACAAGCAACAAATGGCAAAAGGAGAAATCAAAACTTTCTCTTTCGCCTCAGTTCTCATGCCTTTCCTCATTAAGGGCATTTAAAGATATCCTAGTATTTTTCTGATACTTCCTTTCCCATCAAAGCACATCCTGCAATTTCAGTGGTGATGGTAAATCTTGATGAATGAGAGTGAGGAGGGTTAGGAAATGCCACAGCGGTCTTAGGCAATTACAGCTGAGAGGGGAAGTGCCCCTGGAGCAACCTTGATGAAGCTGCAGTCTGAAGATTTCATGATCCCTGCCCTAGGTACAGCACGTACATCACCAGCACACACAACAAGTGCAAACAGCATTACAGAAAGAGGAAGAACGCTGAGAACCTTGCTACAAAGGCAGCTTTTCCTACAAGGGAAATGGCGGGGCCGAGGGTCCAGGAATACCTACTTACCAGTTAAGTGGCTGGCAATCCTGGCAATAGGTTTAGGAGGCAGGGCAGGGGGCTGTTTGAGGAGGGACAACTGTTTCACTGGGGTGTCCTCATGGTCTCCAGGGAAAGCAGCAGATTTTTTGGGGGGAAGTAGCAGGACTGGCTTAGCTGTAGGATCTTGGGACAGGAGGACGCCGGATTCATTGGATGTGGGGCTCTCTTCAGACACTGGAGGACACAACCACATCGTAGACGCAACAATGTTATGAGCAAAGCAGCAGCAGATACAGCCGAAGTCAGACAAGAAAAGCAGCACAGCAACGCAGATTAGGAATGACTCATAGATTTCACTCAAACATCATATAACGTAGAAAGGAAGAAAGAAGGAAAGAAAGAAAGTAAAAGAGAAGGAGTAACACACGTTCACAAAACGGTCAAATTTCCCATTACTTCTGACAGAAGCCAGGTCCCCCATGTCAGACTGGAATATACTCCCACATCTGGAACACAAATCGAGTTTTATAATGTCATGTCTCTGATGGTCTGTCACCACAGCTTGCCTAAGACCAGATATGTTAGCAGGTGGTCTGTAAACGTACCCTGTTAAAAGTAAAAAGCACCTAATGGAGCCTACTCCCTTTCAAAAAGGCTGCATAGCTGTGCAAGATCATGGATGACAACTTCTACTGCTCACTTTTCCTCACTTGACCTTTGTCCACAAGTCTCAGCAGCACATGATGCATCAAGAGGAGCTAACCTAGATGTAGAGCATTGCTGTCTCTCTGCACAGGCTGGGGAAGAAGAGCAGCCAGCCTCACCCAGGGTAGGGCAGCTGACTGTGTTAGTTACTGACTGATGTGTGGTGTGAACATCACACAGCACCATGCGGCAGGTAGAGGGCACGATGTTGTACCCCCAGGTTCAAATGTGTTGTAAGCTCTCTGCTCCAGAGCTCATTGGCACATCTGAGATGTAGACAGAGAGCTGGAAACCTACTTTTACATGTTCACGAAGTGCAGGGTTTTGCCTTACTCCAAGAGAGGCTACTTGCATAGAAGTAGAAGTTACTTCCATATCATGTCAGTCAAAATTTCTCATGGAGCACTCAGTGACAATCTCTACACTGTCAACTCGTTCTACACCAGAATACCTTCATTTTCACAAGGACTTCTCAGGGCTAAACAGCATATGTTAGAAGTCAAAAGCTTCTTTCAAACAGCTTAGAGTATCTAGACCATAATATAAACGAGATGTTACCTGCCCCATCCATGATCTCTGTGGTTGGGAGCACTTCATATGAGCAGGGTTCCACAGATGCTGGGACTGACTCCAGTTCTGCTAGGGCTGGCAGGGACACCTGGCTGGAGCTCAGCCCAGAGCCCAGAGGCTGCCCATTCTCCAAAGCTCCTTCTTCATTTGGTATGGAAAGTTCCCCATCTGTTCATAGTTGGAGGAAAAAAGAATGACAAAAAAAGAGACATAAATAAGATGCAGACAGAATTTTAATTGAAATCTATCTCCATTAGATTGTTTTCAAATGAGGAACCTGGACCGAGATCTTCTACGTACACATGCACTGGGTTTACATGGAAAGGTTTTGATAGTAGGGGGGCTACACGGGTGAATTTTGTGGGAAGCTGCCAGAAGTTTCCCCCACGTCTGATGGAACCAGTTCCAAGCTGGACCCACCACTGGCCAAGGCTGAGCAGTGATGGTGGTAGCACCTCTGAGGTAACATAAAATTTATGTTATATTAAATTATAATATAATACATTATCTTTTCCTCTACCCTGGAATGGCCATTATCAACCGTGGTCTAAATTGGGTGATTCCTGACCATCCTTGACCCATGCAGACATGCAGTCCCATCCACTGCCAAAAAAATCTGTTTTCCCTCTCTCTGTTGAATCTGGGAAGTTAGGAATGATAGTAGGCTGGAACTAAAAAAAATGAATACATACTGTATATAATATTTTAATATTAATTACAAAATTATTATCTTTCCATACACCAACTTTAATGCAATAAGGGACACAAGCAAAATCACAGGAGTATGTCCCTATTTTACATACAAATAACCACATTTTATGTAAGGAAGAGAATAATTTTTATAGTTGCCTGATGTAAGGTCTTGATACTGGGATATATCAGATTCTGTTTAGAAAGCCTGTTTTTATAGTTTCTAATAATATCTCTTCTATTTGAGCAAAATTTCTGTGACAGCAGCTGGCATTTTCTTTCCTATCAAACACCACTTCACATTAGAAATAATAAAGAGCAGAAGAAAGGATTCAGATTATTCTCTATAGTGTCAACCTGCATGATTTTTATCTCCAAACTTGTTAAGCACAGCACTGTGGTACCTGGAGGCAATGACTACATGGATATCACAATTAGAGTTTTATAAAGCAAAGTGTTCAGCCCCTATGGTTACAAATGGAAGCCTGAAAACATAACTGAAATGTGACCTGTGAAACTAAAAACCAGCAGGCAAATATGCGGAACTTGATTTTACTAAGCATTTAAATTACTTTTAAAAATTTAAAACTCAAGATTTCAGAATACGGTTTTAGATTTTTGGGCACCACTGACTAGCCATATTATTGCTCAATATACTGAGTGGAGATGTACATCACTCAAATGTGTCAACATTTTCCCCTCATAGGGCTAAGATGTACAAACCACTTTGGAAAACAATACTGAAAAGAGAAAAAAAGTCTCATTTTGGTGCTAGTATACAGCAATGAACAAGTCTGAAAATATATTAGCTGATAACTATTCAGAATTATGTTTCTGCCATTTAAGGGTTCTCTACAGCGAGTGAAGATGGTCTCCTGTTTATTTTAGAATTACTATAAATACCGAGGTCTTGACTTTCTTGGTTTTGTTGGAGGCTTTTTGGAGACTCAGAGAGCTATTATGGTAATGCAGTCACATTATACTAGACTGAAACCTGACCCATGGCTTTGAGAGATCAACTGAGCTGGCTAAAAGGTGGAAATGTGAATTAAAGCTAAAGGCTTTGGCCAAGTGTTTGCAGCATAGCCTCCTTTCTAACTACTGTGGCCATTCTACAAAAAGCTGTTTACTTCCCTAGGCAGCAAAAATCAAAAAGCAATTCAGACAGTATTTAAGCTGAACATTTTTTGACTTAGCTGTTTGGATAGAAATGCTGTGTATTCTGTGCTGGCTCTGTCACCCTTTGATAGACACACACGTTTACACGTGTTTGGGATAAGGACTGATGTTCTCTCAGTTACCTGGTTTCACGAAAGAGCGTAACTGTTTCTTATGTAGAGCATCTGCTTCTTGAAGAAAGGGCTGTGACTGTGTCTGGCAATATATTCATTAACTCAGTGCATTAATTCAGGCTATATTTGACTGTAACTATGAGAAAAGTATGCATGACAAGCCCAGTAACATTTGCTTTTTGGAGGGATGACTATACATTCTTCATGAAGTGAGATGCCTATTATAATAAGCTGAGTATCTTGAAATCCTACTATCTTAAGTGTGCTATGTGCTTCTCAAATTATATTAGCATGATTTTAAAAAAGTATTTGAAAACTTAGGATTGCAAAAAAAGTAAAATGAAAGATAAAATTTTGGCTTTTACCTTTTGTCATAATACTAAAGCATGGCAGCTTTCTGTAAAGACAGCGTAACCTTTTTTAATCTTACATCTGATATCTTTATTCTTGATTTAGTCTAAAATTTGTCCATGGATTTGAATGAAATCGTCAGATATGGCACAGAATAATGACTGAAATATACACCCTAAATCAGGTATTGCTTGAAGAAGAGCTACATGGGTAGTTGCTCAAGTATAGCAAACAGATCAAAGATATGGAAAAATAATTTGTAGAGGAAAGAGTATCTTAGTGTGAATTAATCCTGCATCAGAGATACGCCTGACAACCAGTTATAAAAGGCAAATTACCTATTATTTTCAAGTATTAAAGCTATTCCAGTTGGCTGACATACAAATGAAAAGAATCCTGGTAATACAATTATTACATATACATGGATGAACTGATCTGTTCTCAGGAACTGGCTATGAGTTTAAAGTTAATTTTGCACAGTGATAACATATGTAATCTTTTGTTCTCAAACTTGCTAAATCCTTTGCTGTTTTCACAGAGTCTGGTGCTACTTAGTGGAGAATTACTTCCCCTAAGTCCATGAGCTTTAATAACATCAGCTGAGCATGAAACTGGATGGGTCCATGAGGGAGAAGCTGGACCTCTGCAGCAAGAGAGCACATAAAGGCTATGGAAGTCAAAACGGACAATTTGAAATCCTGGGTTAATTTTTGCATTGAGTTGTCTCCTTCAGTACTTGATTGCCCTCAAGTAGACTATCCAAGCAAGAAATTATTGATGGCAAAGACTAGGAAGGGCAGAGTAAAATTCATAGTCATTCTCTGCCATGACCCTAAGGGTGGGGAATGGAAAATCAAGTGTTCTTGCATGTGGTCAAGACCTGCCCCGGAACTGTTTCCTAGCTTTGGTGACTACCTTAGCACAGTAGGTGACATCCTCCACAATGTCAGTCCCTAAGCAGATCCCTGGTTTTGTGGCATCTCATGGAGTTTGAGACAGGCTGTTTCTGGAGGAGTGCAAAACTTTTCAATTTCACTGCCACACAACTGGCTCTCCAGTGGCTGCCATGCCTTCCTCTTTGCTGCGTTCTTCAAGTTTATCCTCACATACTGTCACAAAATCTGCTTTAGTGCGTAAGTGCAACATGTCCAAATCCTGTCAGGACTTAGGTTACCTGAAATTTAAGTCTAAATCCATCATTTTTATTAGACAGAGCATATTAAAATACAAGAATATAAAAGATGAAGACTGCCCATGTTTCCTTGAAAAAACATTGCACCATTGCCTTTGAAGTAATAGGTACACACTCATATTCAGGAATTTCTCACTACAGGCAATCTCATCTACATTCACAAAGAAGGAGAGGTATCAAAATATTACCAGTAGATTTAGTTCTTTGACCAGCAGCATGAAACAGTGGGCATTTGTAATGTTTTTGGGCTACATCTTCATGTGAAAATCGAAGTCTGTACCTATGTATAGGAGCAATGGCATAGCAAAAATATGAGTTCTTCTAAATGTTGAGGTATGCTCTGTGATGCAGGTGGAAGACATATTTTTAATCTCTCAGAACTATCTGCCCACAAACTATTAGGACAGCAGGAGCTTCATCAGATACTTCTTCAACTTACTATTTTCCAAAAGTACAGAGTATTGAAAAAATTATAACCTTTGCCTGCATTTTCAGAATACCCAACTCACAGAGCCCTGGAAATGGAAGATAACAGAAAGTGATTCTGTGATGAGTTTGGCCCTTAGCAAGGAAAGAGCTCTCTGCAGTACAGTCAGGAGCAGCTTCACGTGACTAATTTGTGTGGGGGTCACTGAAATGACCAACAGCATTTCTTGTTTTCCAAATATAGCAGCTGGACTGCAGTGACTCTCCTATGTGTGACTACTGTGACTTACTGCACATTTTCACCTGCTGGGTGACACAAAGTCCTCTGAAAAGCCAGCAAATCCTGAAGCAAACAGGTCAGAGCATCAATTTAAACAGCAGGCAAACAAACCAGCTAATTATGCTTTTCTTCAACATAGAAGATATGACAAAACCAACACCAAGCACAAGGCAAAAATTCTTGTTCTTGGGTCAATTTGCCTGCACTGTTTGCTTTGATTGGCATGGGTTGTTAAAAAAAGAAAAAGCCCAAAATTTCTCACAGGCCTGCTTTGCCTACCTCTTAGGAAAGGGAAACAAAGAGATTTACACCTACTGTCTGCAAGATGCCTCTTGGCATGGAAGGTGCTACCACAATCAAACAAAATGTTCTGCTAAGAAATGCTAAAAGTCTTTTGTTTTCTTGAAGGATTAGAGGTTACCTAACAGGAATTACAAAGAAAATGTTACTTCCACTTAAGGTTCTCAAAGAAATATATCTGTTACTAGAATTACTCCCAGATTATTACACCAGTGAAGGATATAATGCTTTTGCTCTCCACATCTTGCCTTGTTCATATCCTTGTACTGTCACAGCTGTTTGAGTACTGCCGCTATTCTTGTGTATTACCACTTTCTTCTCTGCCCTACCTCTTTCTTTTCATATCGGCTTTGTAAAGGTGAAAAACTACTATAAGGAGGAATTAATTTCTCTCTTTCAAATACGTCCAGCTAACTTAGAATCTGCTTCACAAGTTGACACAGAAATTTACAAATTACATCATTATTTGATCAACAGAAAAAACTGTAGTGCTTCGGTAGCAATACAGGGGAAATCTCCCCAAGTTTCAACATGGAAGGCAGAGTCAGACTTCACAGAAAAGATTTGTCCTGGGGAGGCTTTTAGATTTATGTAGGGATGGTTCTGAGGGTGACTACGTGTGGGATGTGAGACAGGGATGAAGGAGGCCACACCTGGGACAGAGGTGTGACTGAAGGCTGCCTTCTGAGCTGGCTGAGGCACTGATCACTTGGTGTGACAGCCTGGACCATGCCTCACTGGCTGCGGGCCTGATCAGAGTCACACCACAAAACATGGACAACAAAGCAGTGAGAAGGGCAAACATATTGACTGGAGCTGTTTCTACTCTGAAGTTGCATCTAGGATGATTTCTAAGCCAGCAGGTCATAGTGACCTGTATACAAGATATAACGGGTAGAAAGTGTAAAATTTAATGATAAGCACATTTTTGCTGTTGTTTGTTTTTACCTCAAAAAAATTAGCAGCATGGGTTAATAAATTTTTAAATTCCTAATAAGCCAAAGTAAAAAGCAGGTAGCAGATTTAAGTGCTCCTGAATTTATGAAGTAGGCTATACTTCTAATATCTGTGAAAGTTTCTAACTTCTATTGATTTCTACCAGATTTTGTACTGCTATTGTCAAAAACTTTTAGACTTCAAATTAATGAGGCTTTAAAGCATACGCATAAGTTCCATTGTGATTAAGAAGTAACTTTATGATGTCTTTATATAGTTAAATTAATTGCCTTACTTATTGACAAGGGAAGCAGCAAAACAAATAAAAGATGCACACAAAGACTGACATATATGTAACAGATGTCAATTATGTATTGTGTTACCAGTGTAAAACAATGATGTTTGTAAAACAATGGCATTTTGCATAAACAAAACATTGCAAACTCAACAAATTAATTATCCTGAACAAGAAATTATTATCTTCTGAACTGCTTCAAGGGAAAGTACATTGTTCTGTACTCATCAGGATCCAAAACCTTTAAATGTTTCCCTTTTCCACAACAGTTAATCCCAAAGTGAATCAACCAGACAATGGCAACACACAGAGGCAAGAACCCACTATATTTCTTCACAGTCTGGATGCTTTGCTCTTTTGCAGTCAGTGACTACAGCCTATTGCTGTGATTTTTATTTCTATTGCTTTACATTTCTGATTAGTTTTCATTTTTATTTGCTAAGTAACTATCACAAGCATCCAACAGAGAGGGACAGATCACGGTGAAGTCAAGAGAAGTGTTTAGAGATCTTATTTTCCATAGTCTTGCAATTCAGAACTCTCTATTCCCAGTTCCTAGTGTTACAATTACGTAATATCTGGCCATAAAACTACATGGGATGTCAATTTACTGTTGTGAAAAGAAGAACACTTACCTTTATCAAAAATTTCTTTCAGCACTCCTCGTTTTATAAGCTCCTCTCTGCTTTGCCTCATTGACATTTTTCTTTCCAAAGCTGTAAGCAAAGGATAAGGGTCAATATAGATAGAAAAGAAGGGAAATTATTATTTTAAAAGGCTCTATGCCTTTTAAAGGCATTTAAAAAATGCTCTTTCTCCTCTTCAAGTCAGTGGCAGTTCAGCATCTCGAAATAGAGGCTAGTGGTAGTCCAGAGAATCTGTCTGCCACGGTAGTGTGGCTGTTATTGACAGAATCGACAGAATTAGGGACAGCAAAGGGAGAAAAAGGAAATTATTGTAGAAGCTGGGGAGAGAAAGGTAACAAAGAAGGCAACACAAAGACTCAAACCAAGGAAAGATGTGGGCACAGAACATGACCAGAGTGCTTCCAGGCTATGGAAGAGAATGAAAGCCAAGGATTCTTTGCCACTTGTTCCAGTGAGGGAGATCGAGGTGTTTGGAACAGGGCATAAAATGAGCTGTTTCATAGAGCCTTCTCTTCCCTGGAGGGCTGTTTTCCCCTAAAGAGATGTAAAGGAGTGAAACTCCAAGAGAGTCACTTCAATTCACACCAAATCTGAACAGCTCGAGTTCTGTATTGGCTGCTTGGAGACCGCGGTCACTGAGGCAGCAAAACGACAGATAGAAAATACACGTTTCTTTAGTGCACTGGTAATTAAAACAATGTCCAATTAACCAAAACACCACAAAGGACATGGCATGCAGGCAAAGAGCTGAAAGCCAGCAAGCTGGGGACTCAAGGAGTGATGTGAAGGAGTGGCTGTGACTGAGCCTGCTCTGTGAGAAACAAGACTGTGCCTGCCAAAAAAGAGGCACAGTCAAGGGCAAATAGCTCCTGCCATATGCTCCTCTATCAGACCCAGCACTGATGCACGCACACACAAATGAACTGGGACTTAGCATCCTCAGCCTGCCCAAGGCAGATTTAAAGCAAAAGAGGCTTGGAAATCCCCTCTCCTCCTCTGAAAACAGGAGGGTGCAACCTCTCTTGGTACTGCTGTGTGTTGGCTGTTCCCACAGGGACTCATATATCTGATGAATTAGCTATGCTTATATCAGCACACTGTGCTCATCACAACTTACTTGCTGCCAGATTCTTAGGGCTCAGTATGAACAAGGCTAGCTCTGCTTCACTCTTCTCCATAGGATAAATACAGGCTTCCTTGTTTTTAAAATTAGTTTTGAACACATATTCTTTGGGACAAAGATGACCAGTGTGTATAGTAAGAAGCTAGTTAAAAACCCTGCTCTACCCAGGGACAGACACACTCTCTGAACTTCAGCGTGGATCAGAATTAAAGGCAGGTCCCTTTGCTGAAGCACAAGACCTCATGCCCATTAACCAGCCACATGGTGCAGTTTGATTTTGGAGGTTGTTAACTTAACAGCCACAGCATTTTCCAGAGTGCCTTAAACCCATTTGAAGAAGTGCTTTAGGCACCTCAACTGATTTGCAATGAAACACTGATTTTTAAGTTTCTAATATGTTTTTGAAAAGAAAGGCCCAATGATAAAACTCTGGGGTCACACTGCAGACTGCTCCCCAAGCTGTCTTTTCCCTGTGCTGAAAGGGTCTTGTTCTGGTACAGCATTTAAAGCTTTTTCCTCTTCCCCCTTAAGAACAGCTGCTCTCAGACCTTCCAGGAAAATCCAGAACAAGCTGCAGCTAATTCCTGAGCCTTCTCCCATCAAAGAAATTGTTAAAATTCTGACTGAGTTTAAAGAACAATTTGGTGGCACCCAGCACCTTTTCCATTAGGTCTCAAAAGAAGTAATTTCTTGTTAGAATAAGAAGCAAACTGAATTTGCTCTTCAGTGGGAAAACAAGCTGGGTGAATCAGCAGCAAAGCAGCAGTTTTTGCATATAGACAGCAGCACTGCCCACAGAACAAAGACACAGGCAAATTCTATGTCTGTGCTTGACCACATATAGTTAAGTAACAGAACCACATGTTGCACACAAATTCATTTGCATCCACCTGGGTGCCCTGTCTCACTCTCCTGCCCACTCAAGAGCTGGTTATGCAAGGTAGCAGCATTAGGACCGACTTCATGACTACGAGGTCCCACCATATCATCATAGTACTGGTAAGAAACACAGCAATTTTGCAGACTGGAGTTAAGGCTTTTGGGGAATCAGGTGCTCAAAAGGGCTATCAGGACATTTAGAAGAAGTGCAGGAACATCTCTTCCAAACCAGCTGCGGAGGAAGACCCTCCAGCAGTGACCGTCTCAAAGTAGTGGACTATTTTTGTAGTCACAGAATTTCAGTTAGAATCTACATATTTGGAAGACTGTATATGTACAGTTAGATTTTTCAGATACTCCCTATTGTAACCTGCTTGTGTTCAAGAATGAAAAAACCCACAACCCTCGAGCTGAAGCTCAGACAAAACCAATTTTTCAGTTTCTAAATCCTTTCTAAGTAGGTACAAGACTTATAGTATTAATTATTTTCCTACTAAGCCAGTTTAATTAATAAGATATTTAGAGGAAGGGCATGCTGGGCTAAGAGCAGCACTGAATTATAACAGATGTTATACTAAAACTATGGAACATGCTGCCTTTCTTCAATACAAATCTTCCTCCCAAACAAGTGTCGTGCATTTAAGTGCATAACCTGCTATGCTACTGCTGATCAGATGGGAAAAAAATATAAGCATTTGGATGCAGAACTCATTAGGATCTAACACCCTTAACAATGAAATTCTTTACTTGGTCTGGATTTCTCTGGCTAAGATTGCCAGTTCTTTTATGAAGGATTTTCTTTTCGAGCAGAAAGCTGGCACAAAATAAATTCATTCACTCTCCACTGAGAAGGAATCCATTCACAGCTGAAGGATAAATATAAACCTTTGAATTAATCCTTGATTCATGAGAACTGTGTAAATTCTGTGATGGGAAAAAATCAATTATAATTAATATTTAAGAAAAGATAGACTACTTCATTAATGATTTTCCTTGGTGATTAACCTCATTTTTTTCATTTATACAACTTTCCAGGAGATTAGAAAGAAGCATTAAGCCCTCTTTATGGGATCTACTTATGCCAGAAACTAGTTACTGTAACAAATTCATCCACTCTACAAGAAACTCTCATTTACTAGTTTATAGAAATGAGCCTATGTGTATTTTATGGTAGAAGTGTACAGATTTTGCCAGTGTGCTCTGCAGTAGGCTGTTTCTTTCATGCTTTGATGAAGAAACAGCGGGAAATGTTTTTATTAATGTTTCTGAGCTGGTATTTTTGAACTCGTCCCTCAGGAGCAGCACCCCTCTGCTGTTCAAGCAGAGTTTTTCTCTGTGGCAGACCCATTAAGATCAGTAAAGCCCTGACAGGGTCAGGAGGAGTTCCTGCCCCTCCATTCTGGAAATCAAACACAGTTTTGTCTTTATTCCTTTAACAGGGCACTGTGCCCCACGATGGCAGTGGCTGTGGGCTGCTCCTGCAGCTGAGAAGGTGAAGCTCGCTGCAGCCTCTGTGCCAAGCGCTTCTGCTGCTCCATTAACCAGCCAAAGAGGCATTTATGCAGTCACGACACACAGCCCTTCCGTCCTCCCTCCCTTCCCTCCAAGACTAAAGCCTCTCAGATGAACTCTTCCAACCTGCATCCATATGAGGCAATGATAAATTAATAATAAATATTATTATACAAGATAATATTGTGTTTTTCTTTGCAGCAATTGTCATGTTGCTGCATAACCAAGGGGCAGACTAAATAAACAAGTCTTGCCCTTTTCATCTGACAACTGAAACTAAATCCCAGTTTGTGCTGGCCAGTTGGATCTTAACCTTCCTTTTTTTCTGAGGTTGTCCTTGGCTTTTGTTTTAAAAAGCACCGGAGGATGCTTTGCATGAATTCTTCCTTTCAAAGGCCATGATAATTTTCATGATGATTTTAGAAAGTAAAGGTTGTTACAGGATAAAGCTGAGAGCAGAAGCTTTCTGGTGCATCAATTATACTTGCTTTCAATAGGAATCTGCTTTGCTAATAATTCAGATCTGAATAATTAGAAACAAGCAAACCAATTGTTTTGCATAAACAACCATCAATGTTTTCTTTAGACTGATAAGGAAGAAGAGATTTTCAAATATGATGGATTATGTATTAAAACTATTACATCAAATTGAAATTTTCTCAACTATGTAGACTTTCTTGGCAATCAAATGGCGTAGGATTCAGCTGATACAAATTTCTACAGTGTGGACTTCTGCCTCTGAGTTGCCCTCCTTATACATTAAGAGCATGTCTTGGGCATGATTAACCTCAGACTAATGAAAGGATTTAACAAGATTGAACTGAACCTTGGAAGTGCCTGTTAGGCTTCACTGACTGTAAAGGAAGCTAAGGGTGAGTAGCTGAGAAAGATGCATAAAAATATGGCTGAATATACTCCTAAAATCAAAATTGACTGAAGAGGGTAGTTTTAAGAAAAGAATGTTGCTATAGATGAAATTATTAGATATCACTGAGGAAAATGCAGACGTGTCACCTCACAGAGAGCTCCATTAATTTTGAGATTGTTTTAATAGCTGTGGCATGACATTCAGCACTGCTGCTGTGAGCTTGAGGTATGATCAATGCCAAAACATATCTTGGTTGAAATAACTGTATTGTTTTGTTCATTGCTAAATATTAATTTTGCTTGGCTTCAAACATGAATAGGTCTCTTAAAGTCTGAGGAAAGCAAAAATACTCCAATAGGTCTCTGAATCTTTGAGATTTAAAGTTCCTTACAGAAGTTTTGAGTGTCTCTAATATCAGCCTAGGTTTTCCTGCAACAGCACCAACTACATAATCTAATTCAGACAGATTACTACCTAAAAAAGATTGGGAGCCTCTTTTTGTCTGTGTGTCTGCCCATGACATTCCTTATTGTGACTATAACCTAGCACTGTCATTCTATGAGATAACATAAGTGAACATTAGAAGGAGAAAAATAGGTTGGTATAAAAGGCTAAGCTTGATTTTGAAAAGTGTATAGCAGTACCTCTCCAGATCAGCTGACCAAATAAACCCCCTTCAGTATGTGA